GAGACAGCATTTGAAGGTCCCCTGGGGCCGCGACAGCGAGCGGGGTGGGAGTGTCTGCGGCCGCGAGGGGGGCTGCAGCGCCTCTCCAGACCGCTGCTGCGGCAGTGGGGTGTGTTTACGTGCGGGTGGCGCTGGGCCGGAGGAGGGTGTGTCGTCGTGCATGCGGCTCCCAGGCTGTGTTGGGCAACTTACTTTATTCCGAGCCGACAAAGAAGAGGCGCGGCGGCCCCAGCAGGTCCCTGCGTGTGACAGTGACAGTGCTGGATAGCTCCCGCGCAGCGGACAGCAGGGGTGTGAGAGCCCCTCTGAGATGGTTCCCATTCAGTTACTCAAGGGCACTGGGATGTACGTGGGCGATGAAAGGGTCGGGGTGGGGGGCAGCTGTGCAATGGATGTGCCTGTGAGCAGGAGACAGTCTGAGAACAGCTGAGTGGCAGACTTGGGGTTTAGGTGTGTGCCGGGGGAGGGGGGGCACAAAGTATGTGACAGCCTATGAGACAGGCCACCAACACAGAATGGGGGTAGGAGGAGGGAGAAGGGCTGTCTGCAGGAGTAGGTCATATCAGGACATGGCTAAACAGCCTCTCCACGTGGCTGACAGAGCGAGGGGGAGAGATGTCATGAGCATATATTAAGGTCTGATGGGTACCTGGTGTTGGTGGAGAAGAGCACTGGGGTGAGTGTGTGCGTGGATGTGGATGTGGATATGCGCTCCTGGATCAGATCGCCGGGAGTGACTCCATTTCCAACGGACACACGGGTGTGACGTGCTTATAGGCAGCCGCGTGCATGGGACACTGGCTAGGAAGCACTTCCCATACAGTTAACCCGCCAAGGCCGGCACGTTGTGTGATGTGTGTGAGTGGAGGAGAGACTAGTGAAGGGTCTCTTCCTGAGGGGAGGAGCAGCCTTTGCTTGCTGGTGGCAATGAGATGCGCCGTTACCATGGGCCATAGTGACAGAATCCCAAGAAAACCGCCTGGGAGGGGAGAGGGGCCATCCTGAGCATGTCTCAGGAAGGCCGGTTCAGCAGGGGCCAGTAGGGATGGGTAAGGACCTAAGTGGTGTGCACAGAAAAAATGTCCACAAGTGTTTCAGACACACACACACACACACACACACCTCCATCCTTGCAAATCTTAAATCCTCTTTGAAGAAGGTGAGATTCAACAAATAAATTAAAATTGATTAGTTCACTAGTTCTTTTTGTGACAACCACAGCAGAACTGGCCATGCCCAACTGTAACTGCCTGGACCCTTACATAGCTAGCCGTGGATTACTGTGGGCAACTTTTCTCCCTTCTATTCTTTCCCCTTCTCCTCCCTCCCATACACATTCCTCATGACACACATATTATCTCCATGTATGGGTTACACGTGTGAGTCTAACAGTATGTCTCTTTCTTACACACCTTTGTGTAGAAACCCTACAAAACCCTGTAGCGTTGTTTTTCTGACACAGACACACATGAGTATAAGTGTGTATGTGGCGGGGTGACAGTGCTAGACAGTTTCTGCTGTAGCTGACACTGACGGGTGTGAGGGCTGTGTAACAGATACTGCCGGGCAGCTCCAGGACTGGTGTCTGGCAAGGGCTTAGGGAGATCTGGACTACAGAGCTGCTGATTAAGAGGATGGAGCTGATGGTGAAAATCAGAGAAGGATGTCTGCATCAGGAGCAGATTGCAGGGGAGATAAGACATGGGATTACTAGGCCTTGTGTTTTGTTTTGTTTTTCACTCATTTGCCTGTTTTTCGGAGTGTGTTTTGGTCAGATTTTCATTATTTGAGGCTGATCCTCTCAGTGGTTCTCAACCTTCCGAATGCCGAGACCCTTTAATACAGTTCCTCATGTTGTGGTGGCCCCCAAACATAAAATTATTTTCGTTGCTACTTCATAACTGTAATTTTGCTACTGTTATGAATCGTAATGTAAATATCTGATATGCAGGATGTATTTTCAGGGGTCGCGACCCACAGGTTGAGAACCGCTACGGCATGCCCCTTCTTTTTCTCTCCCTTCCTCTATTGGCAGTGATGAAGTAACAGAAAATTATAGGTGTTAGAGAAAAAAAATTACAAAGAGTGTAATCCTGAAATTTTAAATCAGGTGGGGTCTCAATTAAGGCCGATTAGTTAAGTGCGAAAGTACTTATACAGAGAATGGATAAGTCTCAGCTACTATTTTGATGGGTAAGTTTGAAAATAAGTAACCTCTCTTAATTACCTAAATAATTACTCATTGCCAAAGCTGTTGAAAACATCAAGGCCTATTAAAAAATAATTATAGGGAAAAATAACTTCAAGAACATGGAACTGTTTATTGGAGAAAGAATGAAAAACTAGATTCTTTTTTTTTACACACAGCTTTCAGTAAGGTTATCAAAATATCTGTTAATTCCTACCAGGTTGTTGGGAAAGGAAGACAAGGATGGGGAAGGGAGAAGTAGAAGAGAAAGATGGTGGCTTCTCTGCTTGACTGGTAAAGGAGTGGGGTTCAGAGAATGGAGGAATCACCTGTCATAGAAGTGGTAGGGGATAGACCCAGTGACTTCCTCAGACCATAGTCCTCTGCACAGAGAGCTTCACTGACTAAAAAGGATATTATCCCCAGAGGTGGGAAATCAGCAGGACTGCTGGTCAGACTTTCCTCAAGAGGATAGACAGTTTTCTCAAGATCCAAGCTGCGCTGGAGAGCCTGCCCAAGGCCTAGGGGCAGTGGCTTCTCTGCCACCACACCACAGTTCAGCTCTGAGAGAGACAGTCCTCGGATTTTGAAGAGGCAAGGTGTGTTTGATCCTCCAGTTATTTTGTAAAAGGTAAAATTCCAAGAATTCTTGCCCGGCTGGCATGGCTCAGTGGTTGAGGGTCAACCTATGAACCAGGAGGTCAGGGCTCAATCCCCCGTGGGGGACATGTAGGAGGCAGCAGCTCAATGATTCTCTCTCATCATTGACGTTTCTCTCTCTCTCTCCCTCTCCCTTCCTCTCTGAAATCAATTAAAAAATATTTTTAAAAATTCCAAGAATCTTAAAAATCAGTTTGCACTTTTCTAAAAAAGCTGAAGTGCCCAGCCAGTGTTGCTCAGTGGTTGAGCGTCGATCTATGAACCAGGTGGTCAGTTCGATTACCTGTCAGGGCACATGCCCGGGTTGCGGCCTCAATCCCCAGTAGGAGCGTGCAGGAGGCAGTTGATCAATGATTCTTATCATTGATGTTTCTATCTCCCTCCCTCTCCCTTCCTCTCTGAAATCAGTAAATATGTTTAAAAATTATTTTTAATGAGAATGGCATCTCAGAATCCCCTCGCAGTCCCTGGGTCTTAGGACTGTCCCCCAAAGCCCCCCCCCCTTCAGGTTCTTTGTTGTGGAGACATGTCTTAACCCCACAGCAGCCTGTCCTCTCTGGCCTCTCATAACCATCGGGCTTTTGTGTTTGTGCAGGGGTGTCCCTGGGCGCGTATGCAGCCGGGTCTGATGAACCTGGCCCAGAGGGCCTCACCTCCACCTCCCTGCTGGACCTCCTGTTGCCCACTGGCCTGGAGCCGCTGGACTCAGAGGAGCCCAGTGAGGCCATGGGACTGGGAGCTGGCCTGGGAGCCCCTGGGTCAGGCTTCCCCAGCGAAGAGAGTGAAGAGTCCCGCATTCTGCAGCCACCACAGTACTTCTGGGAAGAGGAGGAGGAGCTGAATGACTCTAGTCTGGACCTGGGACCCACTGCAGGTAGCTCTTCTTAACAGTGTGTGCTGATTGCAGCTGGGTAGGAGCCACTCTTGGCAAAATGCCAAAGGACCATTTCCTTGCTCAAATCATATCCCGTCTCTCTTTCCACCAGCTTTCTCTGTGCATCAGAGCCAAGTCTCTGGGATTCTGAACGTCTTACAGGCTCAGGAGGCCCTTTTCTCTTTAATATTCACTGCTATTTAGTGAACCTGTATTCTGTGCTCATAATATAATCCCCAGTTTACACATGAGAAAACTGAAGCTTAGAAAAGTTAAAAGCATGCTTAAGGTCATACAGCTGTTCAGATTGTCAAGTCATGATTCAAGCTGAGGTCTTTCCAAGGCCTGGGATTGTTTGTTTTTCTGTACTGTGCTGTATTGTCTCTGTTGAAGGTTCCCAGAAGTCCACACATGCCATGTCCTGCCTTAAGTCTCTCTGGCCCCATCAAGGTGTTCTAATCGTCTTGCCCTCAGTCATGGACCAGAGCTGGTTTCTGGACTTACAGAGCATGACCAATAGAAATGTGGGACCTGGGCTCAGCAGGAATGCATGTACCACGGCTGATTACAGATGCAACAGAGCTTCCATGCTTCTAGCTACAGCAGCTGTGCACATGTCCTTGGCCAGCAGGAGCCCATTTTAAATGCCGGACTGTTAAATCTGTGTGTGTGTGCATGAGTGCATGCACATGGGGGTTACAGAATTTAGCTCTAATTACAAAAACAATATATGAAAATTGTAGAAAATATGAAAATACAGAAACAGTACAAATATAAAATCCTGATATGATCTCACAACTAAAAGATAATTACTATTAATTGTTTGGAGTGCATCCTTCTAGTCACATTTATGTACAAAAATGGAATCATAGTGGACATAATGTCTTCACTTAAAATATTTCAGAAATGAATTTCTGCATCATTAATATTCTTTTATAACCTGATTCTTAATAACTACATAGTATTTCATCATGTGGCTCATCATATGTATGAAACCAGTTCTCTATTGTTGAATATTTAGGTTGTTTATAGTTTTTATGCTGCTATAAATAGCCTCATATGTTTTGTACTTTTCTGATTCTTTGCTTAGATAAATTTCTAAAACAAAATTTCTGGGTCTAAAGGTGTGTCAGTCAGCATCCCAATCAGAAACTTAAGACAGAATCAAACTAAGATAATGCAAGGAGGGTTTATTTATAGAGCAGTGAATTTACAAAGGTATAGGTAGGGAACAGGTGACCACAGAGGAATCCAAGGCTACAGAGCCATCAGTGCCCTATACCCAAAGGGACAAAAGCAGGGAATGATGAAATGAACCTTCAAGGGACGGACAGTGGTAGGAGAAGGTGGCCAGACAGGGATGGTACCAGGAGAATAAGTACTCAACTTCCCTCCTCCTATCTCCTGCCCATAATTCTCCTTTCTCCTCATCTGCCCAAGAGTCAGGTCAGGAAACAAAGCATGGCCTGTTGATGTAATCCACGGGGTCAGTCTTCCTGGGTGAAGGCAGGGTAGAAAGGGTGGAGACTGGATCTGTCTGACACAAAGGATATGAATCTTTCCACAGCTTTTGTTAAATATTTCCAAATCACCTTCTAGAAAGATGGTTCCAATTTGCATACCCACCAGACATAATGAATGCCAGTTTTTTGAACCCTTCCCGCTACTGAATTTTGTCATTTAGAAATCTTTGTCAATTTGATAGGCAAATTATAATGGCCTTTGATTACTAGTAAATTCTAACTTATATGTATATATATTCACACACACATATATTATAGGTATGCATATTCTATGTATTCTCTATATATGATATATACATATTCTGTCCATTTATAGTTCTCCTATTTAATTTGAAGCGTAGTGTAATTAAGAGAACAGGCGTTAGAGTTAAGCAGATTCCACAGTTCCAGCACTGCCATTGAACAGAGATATGATTTTTGGGAAGTAACAACCTAAGTCTGTTTTATCATCTGGAAATGGGGATAATAGTCATATCATAGGGTTGTAAGATTTAAATGCAATAATACATTTAAAGTGCTTACTACAGTGCTTGGCATATTATAAGTCTCCTGTAAATATTAACTATTATTATTATTACTTTTTCATTTTTTTCTACTGAGGCTTTGTTTATCACTGTACACATCTATATATATATAAAGCCTAAGCGACCGAACGACCGGTCGACCGGTTGCCATGATGCACACTGACCACCAGGGGGCAGACACTCAATGCAGAAACTGCCCCCTGGTGGTCAGTGCACTCCCACAGCCAACCTGCCGTGGCCGGCCAACCTCCTGTGGCCAGCTAGACTCCCAACCCCCCATTGGCCCTGATCGCCAGCCAGGCTGAGGGACCCCACCCATGCACAAGTTCGTGCACCAGGTCTCTAGTTTTCATATAAAAAGGATACTAATCATTTCTCTGACATATATAGAAAACATTTTTCTGGTTTGTCAATTACCTTTATTATAGTAATTTTTGATATATCTACATTTAATTTTTATAAGCTTCAAATAATCTTTCTTTTTTCATTTAATTTTTAAAAACATGTTTTCATTGATTTTGAGAGAGAGAGGAATGGAGAGGGAGAGAGAGATAGAAATATCAATCAGCTGCCTCCTGCACACTCCTCACCAGGGATCAAGACTGCAACCCAGACATGTGTCGGGACTGGAATCGAACCAGTGACCTCTTGATGCATAGGTCGACACTCAACCACTGAGTCACACCTGCCAGGCAATAGTCTTTCTTTTGAAATGTTTTTATGTGTTTTTCTTTGCTTTATGTTTAGAAAAGCCTTTCCCTCCCTGAAATATATGCACCTTTATTTCTTATATATTTTGGGGGCCTGATTTTTTAATATTCTAACTGTAATTTATTTTTGCATGTGGCATGAGATAGGGATCTCATTCATTTTTCCCATGTATATAACCTATTGCTGCAGCAGTATTCATTGATAAGTCTGTCCTCTCATCACTGAAAAGAAATTCCACTTTTACCTGGTACCAGACAATTATATGTACTTGGTCTTTCTTTGGGCTTTTTCTTTTGTTCAAACTATTGAGATACGAGCAGTCATTCAGAGCGGCTGGTTGAGAAAGCAGTAGTTATGCACTTAGACCTTCCTCAGGATCACAGCGTAAGGCCCTGATTTTGATGAACTCCGATTTGCTTCACACCCCTCCTTGCTTTGCTCCCCCTCCCTTTTCATCTCTCTCTGTCTCTCTGTCTCTCTCTCTCTCTCTCCACCCCCCTCCCCCATTGGCTTCTCTAGGTGTCATTATAATAAAAATGCCTGTCATTCATTGAACACAAGCCATGTAATGGGCACTTTGCATGCATTCTGCTCATGCCAAGTCCACATCGTACCAGCTCTACAACACAGGTCTGTTTTCTTTTTTTTTAAATATTTTTTATTGACTTCTTACAGAGAGGAAGGGAGAGGGATAGGGAGTTAGAAACATCTGTGAGAGAGAAACATCGATCAGCTGCCTCCTGCACACCCCCAACTGGTGATGTGCCCGCAGCCAAGGTACATGCCCTTGACCGGAATTGAACCTGGGACCTTGAGTCCGCAGGCCGACGCTCCATCCACTGAGCCAAACAGGTCAGGGCATAGGTCTGTTTTCTTATCTCTGCTGTACATACCTGAAGAACTGTGAGGTGGGGACACAAGTGCCCTCCAAGGGCAATGGGCAAGAGGTATAGAACAGGTGGAGGAGGAGAGGCGTTTTGTCCAGGCTCCCTCATTGCTCATCTTTTGATTAGTCTGCTTGCCCACAGCGAGAGCTTTGCCCAAGGGCACATACTTGTGTACAGCAGAGCTGAGTCTAGAATCAGTTTTTCCTGAGCAGTGGTACCTGTGGACCTGGGTTCTTGCCACAGGAGCACATTGATGGGATGTGTTAGTTAGGAAACCAGTACATTTTTTTAATTGGAAAAAAAAATATATAGAATGCTTCACAAATTTGTGTGTCATCTTTGCCCAGGGGCCATGCTAATCGTCTCTGTATCTTTCCAATTTTAGTATATGTGCTGCCAAGGTGAGCCCGTACCAGTACATTTTACTGTTACCTGTATTATTGTACATCTCATTCTAGTTTGTTATGCCTAGAACCAGAGCTGGTGCCTTCCTTCCCCTTCTGTAGCAGTGATCCTGGGGGTGGGGCAGGGGTCCAATGGCAGCTGGTGGAGTTTCTGCTTGACTGATGATGAGTGGGTTCCTTTTCTAATCTTGGCTTCAGTCTCTTTATCTGTGAGACCATGCGAATGATAGATTGAAGTCTTTTGTAGATTTAAAATATTATGATTCTCTGACATTTCACTTGAAAAAAGTAGTCTCAACAAAGTAGGGAAAAATATATGTAATGTAAATTTGCCACTTTACCATCAAGCCAACATAAAGCCAGATCAATTAACTCATGCAGAATTGTTAATGATTAAGGATATTTTGCCTGGCCAGTGTCACTTAGTGGTTGAGCATCAACCCATGAACCAGGAGGTCTCAGTTCGATTCACCATCAGGACACATGCCCTGATTTCTGGCTCGATCACCAGTAGTGGGTGTGCTAGAGGCAGCCAATCAGTGATTCTCATCACTGATGTTTCTCTCTCTCTCTCTCCCTCTCCCTTCCTCTCTAAAATAAATAAAAATATATATTTTCAAAAAAAGAATATTTCCCCAGGTTACTTATTTATCTCAAGACTTAGGTGTCCCTATTGTCACCCTCCACTTCTTTCATTTTCTAAACTCCTTAATAAAATTCTCTGCAAGCAGTTTTAATTTCCCCAGTGAACAAGCTGATTGGTGTTCTACAAGAAAAGAGATAACTCTTTGGGCTTGGCAAGTTTTAGAAGGCCTACTCAAACAGGCACACAGGTGTTTCCTGGCTCAGTAACTGCAGGTGGGGTCCTGGGGTTGAACCTGAGTCAGAGCCTGCCTTGCTCCACCGTGCTTCCCCTTCAGGCTTCATTCTTAGGCAGGCTGTTCCTGTGTG